TGTGTGTGTGTGTGTGTGTGTGTGTCTGTGTGTGTGTGTGTGTGTGTGTGTGTGTTGGGTGTCTGTTGAGTTTCTGTCTGTCTCTACCTCTCTTTCCCCCTCCCCCCCCCTTCTCTCTCTCTCTCTCTCTCCGTCCACCCTCTGTGTGCACCAGATGAACCACGCCTCACCCTGTTCTTGTCTCGCGTTTTGCAACTGTGCACCTGCCTATTTTTTTTTTGTCGTCTCAGGCTCATCTTTGCCGGGAAGCAGTTGGAGGACCAGCGCACCCTCGCCGACTACAACATCCAAAAGGTGTTGTGTTGTTCGTGCACTATCGACAACAATGTGGTGCATCTACACTTTGATCATACGTCATCTCCCCACCCCCACTCACATGTACCATTTGTTGACACGCACGTGTGCTTACGCACACAAACCCACCCAAACACGCACGCACGCGTGTGCACATCAACCAGGAATCCACGCTTCATCTTGTGCTGCGTCTGCGTGGATCGAGCGCGCCAAAGTCCGGCGACCGGGAGGATGCCAGCAACTTTGAATCACTCGATGCAATGCAAATGTCCGGGATTTCGGAGCACGTCATCTACGATGTGAAGCAGCGCGTGACCCTTCGTGCCAAGGCGAGCGCCATTGTTCCTGTCCAGGAGTACGCCATCACGGGCAAACGCGTTGTCGTCTACGATCGCAAGATCAACGAGGTGCGGCGGTATTTGTGTGTGTGCGTGTGTGTGTGTGTGTGTGTATGTATGTGTGTGTGTGTGTGTGTGTGTGTGTGTCCGTCTGTGTGTGTGTGTGTGTGTCTGTAATTTCCTGTGTGCCTCTCTTTTGCAGTGTCTGCCATCTTGTGTATCATCCTAACTCATCATCTCGGACCTTCGCCGTCGCCTGGCTTACATTCTTCTCCCGCTGCAGGTCAACGCCATGCGTGCGTTCCACATTGAGAACACGACTGACGACGTGCTGTGCAACGGCACTGTCAGCATCCTGGAGGGCGGTCGCTTCGCCGGTCAGGTCGAGTTTGCCCCCATGCTCCCCAAGGACGACCAGGTTGGTTGATTGGTGTTTGTGTGTGTGTGTGTGTGTGTGTGTGTGTGTGTGTGTGTGTGTGTGTGTGTGTGTGTGTGTGTGTGTGTGTTTCTGTCTGTATCTGTGTCTGTCTGTCTGCACGTATCTGTTTGTCTGTCTATCTTCCTGCCTGCCTGCACGTATCTGTTTGTCTGTCTATCTTCCTGCCTGCCTGCATGTATCTGTTTGTCTGTCTGTCTTCCTGCCTGCCTGCATGTATCTGTTTGTCTGTGTATCTGTGTTCGATGCCCCAGCTACAATACGCAATTGTAGCTTGCCGTATGTCTGGCGAAATGCCACTCATATTACGTCCCCCTCCCCTCCCTCCTTCTCCTGCTGCAGATTATCCGTTACGGCCTGGACACGAGCGTGAGTGTGACCGCGACCGTGGGCAAGAAGGACGAGGCCATCTCCGACATGAAGCTTGCAACCGTCCCCAGCGGCCTGCGCAAGACAGAGACGGTGCGGGGGCTCGAGATTACGTACCTGTGTCGCCGAGAGACCACCTACACGCTCAAGAACAACTCCACGGAGGCCCTGCCGAAGACCGTGTATGTGGATCACACCGCCAGCAACGCGGACAACGGGTACAGTGTGATCACCACGGACAATTGCGTCAAGGCATCGACAGGGTTCAGCCGGTTCGCGTTCCACCTGAAGCCGCAGGAGGAGGTGGTGTTCAAGGTGCAAGAGGAAGCGACGTACTCACGCACCATCCGCCACGGCTTTGACAAGTACATTGCGTCCAACGACACGCAGTTCTACAAGGAGAAGCACCTGCTGACGGATGCAATGGTGCAGCGTCTCCTGGAGGTGCGCGGGATTGGCACCATCGAGGACGCCGTGGATGTGTCGGCGGCCGCACGATGCAGCCCCTCTGAGCCGCTGGACAAGTTTGACAAGCAGCTGGACAAGGTGGTGGCCGACGTGCCAGCCTCACTCAAGGACACGGCTCAAGCATGCTTCAGCGGTGCGTTGTCGTCGTTCTTGTTCTTGTTGTTGTTGTTCTTGTTGTTGTTGTTTGTTCTTGTTCTTGTTGTTCTTGTTGCTGTTCTTGTTCTTGCGCAACCCGTTGCGCTTCTGAACTGGCACGCTCATCATCATGGCCTAACCCACGCCCTTGACACCCCCCCCCCCTCTCGTGTACAGCTGAACTGCGCGATGGCCTGCGGAACATGACATATGGAATGACGAGTTCAGACTGGTTCCTACCAGCCCATTCAACAACCTCGGCCATGGCCTCCTTCACCAGCTTGTGCACATCGACATCGCCGTGGTGCATCATCAGCTCTCCGCCCACCACTTTCGGTCTCAGATCGAACCCACGCGATCCACAGTCCACGAATGTGTGTGTTTGTGTGTGTGTGTGTGTGTGTGCGTGTGTGTGCGTGTGGGTGTGTGTGTGTGTGTGTGTGTGTGTGTGTGTGTGTGTGTGTGTCCGTGTGTCCGTGTGAAATTGTGCATGTGTGTGGTGAGAATACTTTGTGAGTACCCCCTGAGTCCTCTACATGCACATGTTGCACCTTCACTGACGTGCATCCATCCATCGTCTCACCTGTCCCGCGAATCCAACCGTTTGTGTCTTGGCCCAGTGCGTCACGACGTTGTCCTTCTCCAAATACCCTGCACACATAGATACCAAGGGTGAGAATATGAATCCAAGTCACAAGGATGTGCCGACTGCTTGCGCATCATGTCAGCCATCAAGAACGAACGTCAGTAAAGGACACTCGATTCGCCGCCAGCACCCACACACACGCACGCACACACACACACACACACACACATACACGGCGCGCGCACACATGTTCATGCCTGCCACCCGAAAAGCTCCACTAGCCCTGCCAGTGACATGCGTTCCAACATCGTACACGTACCTGTTCCTGCATCGTGCGAAAAGATGAAGGGCACTTGGTTCAACAAACGCCCACCCTGCGCAACATGATAGCTGTTGGTGTTGATGCTGATGCTGCCGCTGGTCGTGGTGGCCACTGCAAACCCCAGCAACAACACCCACAACACTACGATGCTCATCATCTTCTTCTTTTGTCGTTGTTGTTGCAGTGCCTTATCCGTGTCGCTTCGTCAAAGATTTCAATAGATTTTCTACAATGGAGATGTCACATCGCGCATCTCACGTCTCAGGTCTCACGTCTCACACACCAGTGGTGGTTGGTTTCATTTATTGATCCTGACGCGTTGATTGCATTGCAAGACACACACACACACACACACACGACTCCTCACATATTCAAGCACCCTCACCCTCAACAAACGCACTCACACACAAGCACACACACACACTCTCTCTCTCTCCCTCTCTCACACAAGGGCATGTTCATACACAAAAAAAAAAAAAAGAGCTTGCTCGCTTGCTTGTTAGTTTGCGGATGCTTGGCGCAGGCTGCGCGCGAGCCAGTCCATGCCTTCATACAAGCCCTCGCCAGAGACGGCCGAGGATGATTGGATGTACCAGGGGCGATCCCTGATGTCAGACAGCCCGAGCTTCGCCGCAACCTCCGTGGGCTTCTGTGCGTTGGGCGCGTCCTGCTTGTTTGCATACACCAGCAAGTGTGCGTTCCGCAGCTCATCCTGTCACAACACCACAAAGCAACCAATGCGTGCATGGCGCAAAGATTGGTTGTGAGCACTTGAAGAAACCCAGGCACGGCCAAGCAAGCGTGCAACCAGCATCAAGCACACACGCAGGCGACAACGCGCATGCGTATGCATCGCAAACGCCGCCACACACACACACACACGCGCGCACGCACGCACACACGCACACACGCACACACACGGAGGTGTTGACTAACCGATTTCAAGAGGGTGTGGAGCTCCTCCCGTGCCTCGTTGAAGCGCTCGCCGTCCGTGCTATCGCACACGTAGATGACGGCATTTGTGTTCTGGTAGTAGTACTTCCAAAGGGGGCGGATCTTGGTCTGGCCACCGACGTCCCACACCGTCATGTTGAGCGACTTGTACTGAACAGACTCCACGTTGAAGCCGATGGTCGGGATGGTCGTGATGACTTCGCCCAGCTTCATCTTGTACAAGCTGCACATAGAAGCGACGCCATGTGAGACACATGACAAGCACAGGTGAGCACAACCAACACCAACACATTCACCACACATACGCAGCGCACACACACACACTAACGACAAACATACAAATACATACACACATACACACAAACACACACACGCATACACACATAGATGCATACGCACACACGTGCACTCACATTGTTGTTTTGCCAGCGGCGTCGAGGCCAACCATGACGACGCGGATATCGCGGTCGCCTCGGAGCCAGTCAAAGAGCTTGCTGATGCTGAGACCCATGGTGTCCTTGCTGTTGGGCGAATTGAGGCGCGGAGAAGGCTGCTTTGGAGGGGGGTGGAGTGCGGTTGACAGCTGCGTGTGCGTGTGCGTGAGTTCGTGCGTGTGCGGGTACGTGTGCGTTCCTTCTTCTTGTCCTTGCGTGACTGATGTCGCTGAAAAAAATGAACGCTTCCCATCAATCCATCGCACTTGTAGATGCACAGCCACAACACCGCGCACGCATGACTGCGGTAACACCTGCTGCGTGGCGGTGTATGCACACCACACAAGGCCAGCCACCAACAACAGCAACCACAGCAGCAGTGCCAGCACGACACATCAGGCGCAGTGCAGTGTTGGCTGTTTCGCTGCCAACACCGCACACAGCTGTGTAGATTATTGTGGCAAAATATCCACTAATCCTCCAGATTGCCTGGCTGTGTGCGGAACGCGACGAAAGCTCCTGCTGCTGTGGCTGCTGTGGCTTGCTTGCTCAGAGTGCTGGCAGTGTGTGTGTGTGTGTGCGTCCTGTGAGCGAGGTGGTGTGTTGTCCGTCTTGTGTCATCACGGCAGTGGTTGCTTGCCAGAGTGGAGTGGAGGTGCTGAACCAGTGACGCCCCGAGAATGATTTCGCAAGTCTTTATCTTGACGTCTCGTGGCGACACGATCGTGTCCCGCAACTATCGTCCAGATGTTGTTCGAGGTGTGTGTGCGTGTGTGTGTGTGTGTGTGTGTGTGTGTGTGTGTGTGTGTGTGTGTGTGTGCAGCCTTGTTTTCTGTTTCCTTGCTCGGCTTTGGATGACTCAAGTGCTGAGCTCCCCTTATTGTTTTGTCATGTTGCACTGACCGTTCCCCCGCTCACTGGTTGCACCTGACCACAAAGGCACCCCGGAGATTTTCTTCCGCAAGCTCAAGTCCTGGAGCACAGAGCCGCCTCCAGTTTTTGTGAGTCCAGTGAAGCAACGCAAGCAACGCACATGTGTCCACCCTCACGCACGCACAACACAATCAAACACAAACAACCACAAAGAAGTGCGCACATGCACGCCCACGCATATTTTCAACCACATGCACGCACACGCACACGCACACACTCACAAATACAACCACAAATACAGCCACACTCCTTCCCCGTGTTGGTATTGTCCATGCTCACCTGCAAGCTACCAACCAATGTGTGTTTTTCGTGCGCAGTCCATTGAGGACATTCACTTCCTGCACATCAAGCGCAATGGCCTCTACTTTGTGTGCACGACCAAGTTCAATGTGTCGCCCGCCATGACCCTAGAGCTCCTCCAACGGTAAAAGCAGCTATGTTGTGTGTGTGTGTGTGTGTGTGTTTGTCCTGTGCCGCAACTGAACTCGAACACAAAGAGAATCGTGCAACGATGCATTACGTGTGCTCTTGAGATGCTAACATACCATTTTCCGCTTCTCTCCCCTTTCTTTCCACTTCCCGGCCCCATTCCCACGTTTGCCCGGCGCGCCCTCGTCCTGTTCGACGGAGCCAGCGTGTCGGGCCTGATCAAGGACTACTGCGGCGTGCTGTCTGAGGAGAGCATGCGCGTCAACTTTGTCCTCGTCTACGAGCTTCTCGATGAAATTATCGACTTTGGGTGCGTTGTGGCGCTCGCATGGAATGAATGGGCTGGTGGCCTAGGTGGTGCTCACGCCTGCGATTTGTTCAACAAGCGCCGGCAGACACATTGCATCACATATCCACACGCGAACTTACATACTGTGCTTTATCATGACATCAACTACACGTTCACACGTGCGTGTGTGTGTCTGTCTGTTTGTCTATCTGCCTGTGTTTGCGTCTGTGTCTGCCTGTGTATCTGTGTGTGCAGCTATGGGCAGAACACGGCGACCGAGGCGCTGCGGGCGCACATCTACAAGGACCCCGTCTCCCTCGCCCCCGTGGAGAAGCCCACGCTTCGCGGCATGGAGCGAAAGAAGTGCGGTGGCTGCTCTTTCGTGTGTGTGTGTGTGTGTGTGTGTGTGTGTGCGCGCGCGCGCGTGCGCGCTTTGATCTGTTTGTACGTCTGCCTTGTTGCGTGCCTGCGGCGTGCAACCCTTACGAATGTTCGTGTCACCAATTGACATATGTGTGTCTGTGTGCCTCTGTGTGTCTGTGTGCATGTGTGTCTGTGTCTGTGTCTGTGTGTGCCTCTGTGTTTGTATGTGTGCGTGCGTGTGTGCGCATGTATTTGCAGGTCGAAACCAAGCTCTGCGCCGAACAAGCCCATCTCCCTGCGGCGGCGGGTGCACGACCAAGACGCGAAGAACGAGATCTACCTTGACCTCCTCGAACGCCTCACGGTCCTCTTTGACAAGAACGGAAGGTGCGCTGATTCGCAAGGGGCACCAAAGCGGCACGCTGCTTGCTCTGTGTCTGTGTGTGTGTGTGTGTGTGTGTGTGTGTGTGTGTGTGTGTGTGTGTGTGTGTGTTGTTGTGTGTGTGTGTG